CCCGCTCCTCCCTCCTTTCTCCCTCCTCCCTCCCTCGGCCCGGGCCCGGGGATCGGCCCAGCCCAGCAGCAGCTGAATGTGAAGTGATACTGCGAGAATATGTTCCAGACCAATCGTCACTTGTCCCCCAAAACTATATAGCGACTAGTGAGTGAAATTTCGAAGCAGCGTTGTACCGAAAAGGGGGTCGAAAATATTATTGGGTTCGTGACAGCGCCGCTCTCCTGCTAATGTAGTAAATGTGGCGAGAAGCGTGGCTCCCGGGGCGGGCGGGCTGGGCGGCACGGTGGGTGACTGTCCGGAATGAAGGATGTGAAGGGCACATTCGTGCCAAGTTCACTCCGGCCGGCCCGACGGCGCGGCGCCCCCCAGACCGGAGCTCTCCGAGAGGGGCTCACAAACTTCGAAAACTCGTGTACACCAACACCTTGTTTGATTTTAAGTTGTTCCGATGTAGTTTCAATCAGATCTCGGTATGGTTTCAGAGGATTTTAATATGATTGAGAAATTTCAGAGGACATCAGACCCGGTACACGTATTGATTCCAAAGAGTTGTACGCCCTAGGCGCAGGCTCAAGGTGGGGGTAAAAGGGCAGGCGGATGAGGAAAAGTGCAATCGCCGATCGTGCTGTACTGTACCCCGAGAGTGCACTTGCCCCTGCCCTCGCGACCGGCGTGGGGTGTGGGGGGTGAGCCCATCTCCTTGTCACGGAGGTGTAGTAGAGACACTGTCTTGAATAGACCAAAAGAGATACTCGCGAAAAAAAAAATGGAGCAGATGTGCTGAGAAATGAAACGACCAAAGAGCCGCAACAAGTTTGAGTGAATTCACGTTAAAAATATATATTTAAAATCTCGGCCACACGCTCACACACAGTGTGTCCGCGTGATACGTAAATGCGAAGGGAACGTTTACGTATGTGGCTAGACGAATCCCGCGGTAGGCGGTTTGTGTTTGACGTGCATGCTAGGCCCTCGCGAGGATGTATTATTTCTGTCCGGTCCCCGCCCCGCCCCATCGCTTCACCCCGCGGGCCCGGCGGCCGGCAGCAGACTTTTCTTTTTTTAGGATCCGAGTACGGTGGACATCCAACAAACGTGACGCGCGGCGCGCCTTGCGATGCCGGTATGCGCCGGTGTGTGCCGCACAGTATTAGCTGAGAAAGCGAATGTATTAGCTGGATTCGTAATATGTATAAATATTAGCTAAGCGAGCCAACTTTCTTGTTCTGGCGGCTAAGGTCAAAACCGTAGTGGCTGGTCCGGGCTGGTCAGTAAGGATAGCGAAAAAGTTATAGCTGTTGCTGTTGTAGCTAATTTTACTACCTATCAAATCACGTATCCAGCTATTCTGTTTTTTTTTTGCGTGCGCGCGTCAAATGGGGAAGGTTATAATTTGGTAACTAAGGACGAGGATTGCATTTGAAGGTGCAATACCTTAAGTACGTACAAACGCCGACTTGCCTTTGGTATTTTGTACTCTGTTATCAAAAGTGAGCAACTGGCATATGTGCATGATAGTGTTCAAAGCCACGGTGAGGCCTTCGTGAGGTTTCAACAGTGTGCCTTTACTTTACTTTGACTTAACGGCACGTGTACTACAGTCCGGACCTACCCCCTTCGCCGCCACGTGCTCGCGGCGCTCGGTCGATGCCGGGCCAGTCGTTGACGGGGCTCAGATTCCCACGCCCAAGGTGATTAGGGGTAGCGGGACAACGACGGCGGCGTCAGGGGCGGCTGTGTGTGGGATGTGTTGGTTCCTGACCGCCCGCCGCCCTCCAGCACTCTAGAACTCGACTCGTGGTTGCGATTTAGAGTGCTACCCCGCCCGCGGTCAGGCTTTTCGCTGAGGATGCGTTTTCCCATCGCGCCCGGCGGATCGGATTGGTCGATTTGTTGTTTTTGGTGGCGTGGCGCGTGGCGCGCGACCTTCGACCTTGGAGCGTGCCTCCCCACCGCCCACCCTCCTCCTCCCCCTCGCAGTCGGAAAAGGTTATTGACAAGCGAGATCAGAGGGCAGAGTTGTTGGGTTGGGTATGGCTCTAAATCCGCGACACGCCGCCACGAGATATTTCGTGTTCATCATCATTGCCGCGCGCTTAATTTGTGTCGTGCCCCCTCCTCGCCCCTATCGCAGTTGTTTGGGCTAAGCGAGCGCGCCCCGTGGCGAGGCCTACAAAGCAGGGGGCCGCATTCTTGCCCACTTTGCATTGTGCGGGGGTGATTTAGGCTGCTAGGTCAGCGCGCCCCGCCCCACCAGCCAGTGTCACCGACGTCAGCCTTTCGGCGCAGCCCGGCCGGCCCGGCCGGCACCATGCCGCCCAGAAGGGCCGGTCGGGGGGTGATGGTGGGGGGGAGAAGGGCTTATCTCCCGACACGTGGACGCCCACCTGTGTGTCGATGGTAGGAGACGCGGCAGAGGGAGTACACCGGGGACCGCCGCTGCCGCGCCCGGGGGCACGAGCAGTAGCTGAAGAGTCAGGGAAACAACTGGCTGTCTTAAACTGTACTATGGCTGTCTAAAACTTTACGCACAAGTTTGGGAAGCAGTTGGTAGGTTCGCGAAATTGTCGGCCGGTGTTCCCGCGCCCCGCCCCCTAAGGCCCTGTCCTTGACCTAGGACAGCGTGGCCTTGATTTGGGTGGGGCCAAGGCCAGGCACTTGCGCGTACGTTACCCCCCGATGACTCCCCTTGCCCTTGGCCTCCCTAAGGCTCTCCCCAAGGCTCTCCCCAAGGCTCTCCCCAAGGCTCTCCCCAAGGCACTCCCTAAGGTCCTCCCTAAGTTCGTCCCCGAGGTCCTCTCCTTGACCTAGGCCGGCGCGGCCTTGGCGGCGGGGCCGTGCACTTGCGCGATGACTCTCCCTCCCGCCCGCCTGCCCTGGGGGCCCCTGGGCTGACGCCGGCTGACGGGCCGGGTGACGCCCCCACACATGCGGCCGCTCTCATTACCACTACTTGTGTACATTTTCCGCTTGACTTCGTTTGATTCGCGCCAACTGGCTGCGCGGCGCCTCTCTGTCGCTATCGCGCCCACTTGACGCGGAAATGGCGGCCCATTGTGGTGGTGGGCGGGGCTAGAGAGCGGCGGGTGAAACTGCTGCTACACTGGGTACTAGTAGTGCGCCCGAATCGTACCATCGGAAAGTTTTCCCGCCCTTTTAACGGCGCCTCTGGATGCACGTTAAAGAGGGGGGGGGGGGTGGCGATGGTTCGTCCTGAGCGGGTTGTTTTCTTGACCAGAGGGAGTGGAGAGGAAGAGAAGCATTGGCATCCTGTGGCTGGCCCTTTACTGAACTCGACGAGGATGAAGTGCTCCCCGTGTCACGTGACGCCGTATTGGAGTCGGGTCTCGGCCGGCCGGCCGGCCGGCCGGGCACCCCGACCCCAGCAGTTCAGCCCCCCGGCGCGTCCCTTGTTCCGTCCAGGTCCGGGGGGACGCGCCGAACTAGGCCGCAATAACGCAAAGGGCGAAGGCGGGAGGGAGGAGGGGACGAGGGAAACTGGGACCCTGATCACGGCACGGCACCTCATCAGCAGCAGGAGCCGGGCGCAGCAGGCAGGGGGCCAGTAGTACTGCCAGTAGTCGCCGTACCTCCCCTCCCTCCCCCGTCGCACCCCTTGCCCTTATCTTATCAGTCAGTGCCCGTGTTACCATGTGCTCCGCCCGAGAGCAGGCGACACGGGGCCGGCGGGGCAGCAGCGGTGACGTGCGGCTCTGGGCACCGACTCTGTCACCATCCATACTGCACCGCCACCGCCGTCGTGCCGCTAGAGATGAGGCGCAGGAGGCGGGGGATGATGGGCCGGGACCCGCCCGCCGCCGGAAGTGAGTTCGTCGCCGCGCCGCCGTTTGAATCCGTTTGAATCCCGGTACTCTACAGTCGCGGGGAGCGGGGCGGGCGGGTCGTCGCCTCATCTCCCCGCCCGGCTAATCTGACACAACTGGCGGCCCAGCCCCCCTCAAATGGCAGCACACTCCCGGTGCATGGCTGGGCGGGTCTCTGCTGTGCTTCCAAAGGGAGTGTGAGTTTACCCTGTCCGGCTACGGAGTTGCTCCAGCCCAGCGCGGGCATAGCGGCCCGGGGGGCTGTGCTGTCCTGCCGCCTTTACCTCCTGCGGAAGCGCGGTAGGCAAGCCCGCACGCCTCTGGTGCGCTGCGGTGGCCCGCGGCGGCCTACCGCCCAGGCGGCCCGGGCGCGCCGCTCGCCCCCCGACCACAGTCAGCCCGTCGCGGAGTAGCGCTGGCAGTCCGCGCGGCTATGCCCCACGCTCGGGGGGGGGGGGGGGGTCTGGGGACCTGGACACCCTGCAGGGCGCGGGGTACGAACTAACGCGCGGGGAGTAGCGACCAGAACAGCAGTGTCAATGACACACTCTGGTGGTGCAGCAGGGTGGGCTAGACCTGCAGCCGCATGCTTTGTTGGTATTTCGTGTCTCGTTCGCTTGATCTTTTCTTCTTGTCACTCATGTTGTGAATGTTTGTGTCTGTTGCAGAGCGCTGGATGTGTGATCGAGGGCTGACCCTCGCCGCCACGTTGGAGAGCAAGCCGTCGAGCGCCGCGCCGCAGGAGCTGTCGGGCGTCTGCCGCCACTTCTGGATCCCCAAGCGCGAGAAGAAGCGGAGCGAGTCGGAACACTTCAGCTGAACGGGATGCGGGTCTAAAGGAGGCAGCGCCAGAAGCAGCGGCGGCTTTGTGAAGGGCTGGCCATTTGTCCTGGTTCCTGTCGACGTACAGTTTGAAGAATGAAGGTTTTTCCTCTTTTGGTAAAATGTCATGAAGACCTGAAAATTAGCTGATAGTTCCCACGGCTGTTGAAGTACTCAGTGCCCGGGGATTGAGCGTCCCGTGTGAGTGACTTGTGGGAGGGGCCCGCTCAAGGGGCCGAAAACTAGTTGATTGTTGTTGAATAGTGGTCAACAAGTTGTTCATAATCACCTCGAACAAGGTGATGGTTATGTTACGTAGCCGACGTTACTATTGTAAGCAAAGCAACAGCAGCAGTAATTGTGATCCGCCAGATCTGTTAGCTATTCGAGAGAGAAATCAGCACTGCCGTCGGCGGTGTGTGCAACAATTGCATCCAGTATTGGAGCTCAGCGCCAAGGAGGTGACTGTGCACGAGAGAAATCGTGCCAGACTTTAGCCCCCCTGCGGCAGAGCCGCCTGAAAATAGCGCCTCCGGAGTGCTACATGATATTCTGTACGGGTAATGGGATAAGTCCCTATAAACAAGCAAGAGGTTTTAAATTCAGTGATTGTGTGTGTCTGAGAGGGAGAGTGAGGAGGACGAGGAAGATAGGAGGAGGACCATTTTTCGCCTTTAAAAGTTCCATACAAATGGTCTGGATGGAAAGACGCCCGAGAGCTGTGTTGGTGCAGCAGTTCTTCCGCCCCTCACCAGAACAACGGTCTAAAGCATAAACGTCCAGGGGCCATGCTCTAGAGCTACGCCCTTGCGCGTGCTGGGAGGAATGGAAGTGCAGTTTGCCCTGAACGGCGTGGAGGAGCTCATGGAATTGCCGCTAGAGGCTGGCCTAGAGCCGCCTTCCTGGTCTCCGAGTGAAACTCACTCACCGAACTCTGATATTCTTGAGGAACTGCACCCTTGGTCCGGAGAAGTAAAGGCATGTATTCTGTCGGCTATATAGATATAGAAGTAGTTGAATGAAATTTAATGTTACGTTTCCCTTTTTTTGTTTCCAGTTCTCTTTTGGCGACATCAAGGCAAAGAACTTGTATGATCTGGGTGTGCCACTTGAACTCCCTGTTTCCACCAACATAGATCATACGATGGTTGGTAGTCGAAAACGCAGGGGTTGGGATGACGATGATAGTGATTCCAGTGTGCCACCCAGCTCCAAAATCAGTCGTGACCAGCTCCTGCTCTCCGACTGTCTTGATAATATAAATCCAGATACAACTGATCTGACTTCTGTTGATACAGCCCTTATGAGGGATCACAAGAGAGACACAGGTAAGGCTTAAAAATTATTCAAATCAACTAAATATCTGAAAAAGAGGTAGAAAGTCTTAGAACATTGAAGAAAAAAAGGAAAAAAATACAAATTAGTCTTAAAAAAAAATAAAAAAATATGTCTTACTGGAACTAAATTTATGAAATTTAAAATCAAAATGCAATAAAAATTTCAACTTTTTAAAATTTTTGAAAGAAAATAAACAAATGGTGATAAAAGAGGGCAGAAGGAGAGACAACATGAGGGTCACAATTTAACATCAGCTGTATAGATAAGCTTATCAGTTGTGCGGAGTAAGAATCTCTGACGGGCAAGTTGGCACTCCATCTTTAGTAGCATTGCTTCTTTCAAGGCAGGAGCACACTAAAGTGTTGCCTGTATACTCACATTTCTATCTAGTTTGATTGTGCCTAACAAATATGGCAGAAAACAGGGAAATCTTTGTAGTTTACTTACTTGATTACATAATGCTCTTGCTCTGTGAAAGCATCTGATAATGAACTACTGTGTTTTGTGCTAGTGCAAAGACTTAATGAAACTTTTGAAATAGTGAAATAGTATAGGTGTTGTTTTTTCTGTTGGCTCCGGACTTGAACTTTCAAGATTTAGTGATAGAGGAATTGTACTACAAAAAGTGTTGTACTTCAAACAGAAGTGGGAGTATTTTGTTTTTGTGTCTGGCTAGCGGAGATAGTTTTCAACATTATTCAGATAGGACAAATGGTGCAAAGAGTGAGAGGCAACAAAATTAAAGGAAAATCCCTGAAGAATGTGCAAATTGCATTGGGTTGGAGACCTGTGTGGAGACCCACAGTCCGGTGGCGGATTTTGTTGTAATCTTTCAATCTTCTTGCTACTTTATTAGCATTTAAGCTCATCAATATGTGGGGTGAGATTTATGCTCTTAGATTAAGTTTTGTTATTATATTGATTTAAATTGAAATGTGAAAGAACACGAAGGTCTTATTGCCATATTTTGTAGATTTTGTGTGATCACAGTTTTTTTTAAATTTTTTTTTAAATCTGACAAATAAAATTCTTTCATTGTTTTTGGTCATTTTATAGTTTTATAGAATTGCTATATGTAATGTGTCTCAATGTTGTCGTAGGTTCTACCCTGAGTCGCACTTCGTGGCCTATGAGGGACCTTGGTGACAACTTAACTGCAGACCTAGATGGCCTAGGTGTTGACACCTACAATATAAGGTTTGTTTCTGGTAGAAGAACTTTAGTGGTTAATGGGATGCTTCAGACTCTTATATAACTGTCTTTTTCTTTTGTTGTTTTAGTGAGGCATTTTTAAGCCTCCCCAGCTTGACTGTCTTCAAGCAGGAAGCTCCGTCTCCCTCACCAAATGAGAATGGGTGAGTTCATTTGCCTTTTTGCTGCAAACGTTTATGATCTTATTTTTATTTTTCCTAAACTTTGATTACTTTACAGAGTTGCTCACATGTCTCCTCTTTCACTGGGAACAAATCTGGTGGAACCAGAGACTCCTGTCAGCAACAAACCGACTCAGCAACTCCAGTCATCACCCCTGCACCATTTACTGCAGCCTGCATTGCCAGGACCACAGCAGTCTCCCAATCAGGAGTGTTCGAGTAAGAAATATTATTTTTCAACATTCTGCATTATCTTATTGGTATAACTGTCAAACTATTTATTGATTTATTTTATCTTTCTAGCTGCTATTGCTGCAGTGTCTCCTAACAATCCTGCTGTAGAATCGTTTTTCCCAAATGCCACAGCTGATCAAACCCCTCCGATTGGAGATTGCAGGTAATTTTTGTTGAATGATAGTTGAACTGTGCTTAGAAACTATTGTCGGTATTTTATTTGCTAGTATGTGTTGATTTGCGTGCTTATTGCTTTGTTTTAACAAACTGAAATATTTTTCTTATAGATTTCAGTATGTGTTGGCTGCAGCCACATCAATTGCCACCAAGGTAACAGAAGAAACTCTTACCTATCTGAACCAAGGCCAGTCCTATGAGATTAAGCTGAAGAAGCTCGGAGAGCTTTCCAACTACCGCGGCAGAGTCCTCAAGGTATTTTTTAAATATCTATTTCTAAATTGGATATTTTGTGTTTAATTTTAGTTTTTTCATTTGTTCATTTGCTTGGTTTTTATTTTGTATGTTTCAGAGTGTAATTCGAATCTGCTTCCATGATCGCCGTTTGCAATACATGGAGCGTGAGCAGATTACAGCTTGGCAGGCATCTCGCCCTGGAGAACGAATCGTAGAAGTTGATGTACCTCTCTCTTATGGGGCATTCGACATTTCTCAAGATTCTTCGCAACTCAACACTGTAGAATTTTTGTGGGATGCCACAAAAGAAGTTGGAGTGTACATAAAGGTTGGTTTGCCAGCCATTTTCCCTGTACATAAGCTATTTTTAAATGAAATAAAATTAAAATTGTGGATTTTAAAAACCAAACCAATACCTCTCAAATATTTTAGGTGAATTGCATCAGCACTGAATTCACCCCAAAGAAGCATGGTGGTGAGAAAGGTGTTCCATTTCGTGTTCAAATCGAAACTTTCCTCCATGGAGACAATTCTGCGAAACGTTTGCATGCTGCTGCCTGCCAGATTAAAGTGTTCAAGGTAAATAAAACTCAGTTGGGTTTGACCTCTTTTTTTAATTCTGGTTTTAGTATGTTTTATTTGACATTTTACTTTCATATTAAACACAAGATTTTCCATTGTTTTTGTTTTAGCTCAAAGGAGCAGATCGCAAACACAAACAAGATCGTGAAAAAATAATGAAACGCCCCATGCAAGAACAGGACAAATTTCAACCATCATATGACTGCACTGTACTCACTGATGTAAGTTTACTTAAAATAATATTTTTAGACCATGAAGCGAAGCAAATCAACAAAATATTTTACTTTTGGCAAATCTTGCAATAAAAGCCTTTCTGGATGCTCCCCCTTTGATGAATTGAACGCCTCTCCTCACTTGCTCTTAGATTCTTATTATTTTAAATATCAGAGCAATTTGGATTATTGATTCTCTAAAGGCCTTGCAAAATTAAAATACAACACAATATTCTGAAAGAATAAAGTTGAAACAATAACTTAGATTGTGTTTTGAGGATATATTGACAAAATGTAGACTCTTTCTGCACATGCTGCTGTACACAAGTTAGTAGTTAAAAAGGATTAAATACTAAATTGGAAATCCATCTTTCCTCGTGCTGTAGTGTCCAACTGTAAAAATAAAAGCTAGATTAAATGCAACTTTATTTCTGCTGACAAAGTTTATTTTCTATCCACCACTATTTGAGATTCTTATTTATAACTATTTCCCCCCCCCCCTTTTTTTTTGCAGATTTCAAATGAAGCAGTGGCACCCCCCATGAGTACGTCTGCCTCTCCATGTGTGACAATTCCAGCGCCAGCCATTGCAGAGCTAGGGTAAGCCAGACTATTTATCTCATTTTCTTTTCGTTTCACTAAACAAATTACACCTCAACCCAACTGTGAACACAATTTTTAACTAATTCAGTTCACTTACACATACAAGAAAGATTAAACCCATCAACATAAGTTCCAATTAGCAAATATGTCTATAACAAAATGCTGCTGCTCACTTGTGGAGCAACTGTGGCTGTTGAGGTAGGCGGTCAGCGCCGTGCACAAGTCCATTCTCCCCTGGCTATTATAGTCGTGCCTTGGCCTTCCCCTCCCAACTCACCTCACCTGCATGTCCTGCCGTACCCAGCCAAATCCAGATTGAGTCAGTTGTGCGGCGGGGCGAAAGTCCTCTTTTACCAACCTGGCCTCCTGGACTTTTCCAAGCTTAAGCGACAGCCGAGTCTGCCTGTCTTTTTTTTCAAACGTGCGACAATTTGGTAGGTTGTGGTTCTTCCCTCTAGCCTTTACACACTCGCCCAGATGGGTTATTGATCTCCCAAATCGTCGACACCCATCACTCACCTGCTCGCTGGCGTTCCACACTCCAGGCCAGGCCTGCCTCGGTGGTAGGTAGCGTGCGCAGGCGTCTGGAGGGCAGGGTAGGGCCTAGCCCTAGCGTGCCCTAGGCTAGCTCAGGGCAGGGCAAGGGTGCAGGACGCCTAAAGGCTGGCCGCTCAGGTCCACGGCGCCGAGGACGCGACCGCTCGCCTCGCGTGGAACTGCGTGACTGGCCAGGCCAGCCGCAGCCGCAGGCCGGGAGGGGCCTGCACTGGGCGGTGCGAATCCTGCCGCGCCCTCGGCGCCGCGACCAGCGACCAGCCTCCTCGCGAGACGGGGGAGGGGCGGGCCGATGGTACCGGCTGGCAGGGCTCTGACCGGCCGAGCTGACACGGGGCGGATGAGGCACTGAGGCAGGCTTTGGCCGCCCTTGGCATTGAGCACGGGCGTGCAAACGACCTGGGTATGACGACATCCTGGGCAGGGCACGCACTGGGCCCCTCAGCCTCAGCAACCCCCTCCCTCCTGGGCCTCATCGCCGCTGCTGCCCCGTGTCACTCAGCCGTCACCATGCCCCACTCCGTCCCCTCCTTTCCTTGCCTTGCACCCCGCGCCCTGCTCTCTTCGTCCTCCCGCTAGCGCCGGGTGAAGGTGGGGCGGGGCGGGGCAGCGGGGCATAATAGCCGCGAAGAACAGCACGGCGGCGGCCATGAGCCGCGGAAGATCTGATCCAAACCGACTTGAGCCACCGCAATCCGATTTGCGAGGCAGAGCCGTAGCCGTCGACACGGGCGCGGGTCCCCCCTGCCCCGGCCGGCTGCCCCGGCGGCGGCGTGACCTCAACGGTCCGCGCCGCGCGCCGCGCCGAAGGCTCGGGCGGGCATCTCTTTGACGCTTTGCTGGGTTCGTTTACAGAGCCGACGGCGCGCCACCTGCTGCGCCACAGCCGCACCCCCCGCCGCGCACACGCCTAAAAACCTCAAGGGCTACGAGCATGACGACGGTCTTAACGCCCCCAGAACCTATAAAATTGTTTCCTTGAAACAAGAAATTTCCTTGAATTTAGACTTGGATCAGGGAAACTTTCTTTCAGTAAATTAAAGAAGTCTTTATTTTTTATCGTTAAACGAAGGCAACTTTATTTGAAAGAGTAAAATTTCGTTATGTTGTTTTTGAGGAAACATTTTTTTGGTTGTGGTGGCACGCGCGCGTCGCTTAGCTGCCTCCAGGATGTCGTCTCGCTCAGCCCGACGGTGGCGGCGCCCACCTACCCTCCCCTGGACGTCCCGCCGCGGCCTGGCAGATTCGATCGGGCCTCGCGGGGGTGCGACTTCTACGAATGAACCCGGGTGGACGGATAGACAGACAGACAGGCACGCGTGGGCGGCAGGGCGGGTCCGAGCGGACATTCCCTCCACCCCACCCCCTCAGATTACGTCCACCGCTGCGACAATGTTGCGAGCTGGAGCCGCCGTGCGAGGCCCGCGTGGCCGGGCTGGGCTGTTGCGCCGTGGCGCCGCCGTGCCGTAGGGGATCGGCTCGCTGGCTCCCTCTGGTTTCCGCTGGTTCCGTCTGGTACTCTTGTTGGTCGGCGTGCGTGGCCTGCTCGCCGCCGGGCCCCCGCGGGCCCGACCGGGCCCCCAGCCTTTACGCCCATCGTCCTCTGTTTTCCTCTCCCTTCTCCCTTGCCTTATCCTCTCGCTCTCCTATGATGGCGCCTTTGTCTTCTACACCCTCCTCTCACAACCGCCACCCGTCGTGATCAGCTCGTGAGGTGGTTTTGGTGGTGGTTGTGACGCGCCATATTATATACACTGTTTGAAAAAAGCACAGGAGTTGAACAGTACTTTATTGGTCAACTTGTTTCTCGGTCTTCCTGTACTTGCTAAGTACGGTGTTTTGAGTACAGAGTACAGGAATTTTTAACATGGAGCCTTATGGGCACTACAGTAATAAAGTACGGGTGTTCTGTACCTTATCCTGTACGGAATCCTGTACTCTTTCTGTACTTTGGTACAGGATTTTTAACAGTGTATGTTACCTGCCGTGGCGTTTCTCTTGTGGCACCCTACCCTAGCGCCCCCACCGCACCCCACCCCCTGTGCCCCTCCCCGTGCCGCTCCCTCCGACGGGGTGTGTAGTATTTTGGTTCGACGCCGAAACAACACGTGTGCGATACAGTATCAACGCCCTATCACGGCAGCGCCAGTGGCGGCCACCTCACGGCTCGCGCGGCCACGACGCGCCACGCCAAGCGGGCGCCGCGGCGACAACATCTGCCAGAATATCGCGTAATCTCTCATCCTTGCTCGAGTGCTCCTCGAGGGGCCGGTTGACACACGGGGCTGGCCAGCCAGGCCAGCTTTATGCAGATTAATTTCCCCTCCTGCCCCCCTCTCCTCCGAAGCCTGGCCCGACTCTGTTTTTGCTGGATTCGTCTCGCTGACACAATTTTCCACTCACCGAGCCTCGCCGCGGACCTCGGCATTGACACTGCAGCGGCGTGCCCCCTCCCTGCAGGCCCTACCCTGATGGCCGTGGCCGTGGGGCCCATAGCCGAGCAGCAGCAGGGAAGGTCGCGGCCCCAGGGCCCGCAGGGCCGACGGGAAACTCTGCCCGAAAAAGAGCCCGCGTTCAAATAAATGTGCATGGGCGATCCCGGATCACGGTGCCTGGTGGCTGACGACTCGCCCCGGGTAGTTAGACCGTACTGGCGTACCGAACGCGCGCGTGCGGGCGGGTTGCCTACTCGGGCAAGCCGCCAAGCTAGGCGCCACCGTGGTCTGCTGAGACGATTGGCGAATGTGTTCGCCTTGCACCTTATTGTTTTGTCCGTTTCTGGTGTGCCGTTTTCTGGCAGTGGAGTCCTCGCCAGCCGAGCCGAACGATGCGGCACGACGTCGTCGGCTGGGGCTGGGACATGGAAAACTTCCTGGACTGGAACCGCGCGAGACGCGGGCAGCGGCGGGAGGTCAGTGTCGCGCTGCCTCTGCTGGAGGCGAGGCGCGAAAGTCATAAGGTGTGGCGAATGTGAGGAGCAGGGGGCGGGAGCGAAACTATGGGGGAAGTGTGCGGTGCGAAAATAGTACAACGCAGCAGAATGAGCGTCGCTATACTGATGGAGAGAGCTGAGCCGGCCGCGCTGGGCTCGCGTCCTGCGCCCTGCGCAGTACCGTTGTTCGTACGGGGCGCGGGTGACCCTGCTCCTCAGTGGGGGTGAGAGGGAGGTCGCCACTACGTGATTCGCACCTCCGTGCCGTGACTCTGACGTCAGCGTTGTGGTCGTGTTTCGGTCCGGGCCCCGGTGGTGGTGGCGCGCGCCCGCCCGGCGCGGGGTTGTTGTTGTCCTGGCGGGTGGCGGGCGTCGTGCACCTGCGGGTGGGGCGGCAGGCACTGGGTCCGGGCGCGGGCGCGCGGGGGCGCGGCGGGGCGGAGCCACGAGCAGCGCTTGCCCCCGCCGGGCCCGGCGCGGCGCGGCTCGATCCGGAATGGGCCGGTTGGTGGGCCGGTAAGCCGTGCCGCGCGGTGCACCACATCGAACGGCGGGACGGTGGTGCGGCGGTACCCGTCGTGGCAGTGGTACCCTCCGCGCTACCTGTGAGGTACACTTGTACCTTCAGTTGTAAACGCGCCGCCACGAGTTGCTTCTGTCTCACTATACAACGCGTTGACGTTGTCCTCTCACTTCCTGGGCGACCTTTTTATAGGCCACCTGTGGGTGGTTGTGGTGGTTGAGCGGGGACGAGGTGAGGGGGGGGGGGGGGTGTCTTCCGGCCGTGTGGACAGTGTAATGCGTCAGGGAAGTTCCTGGCGACCAGGCCCTAAGTGGAGCTGGAGGGGGGCGGAGTGTTGTTGTGGTGGGGTGGCCAGTCGCGTCTCACCCAAAGGAACCGAGGAGCCCGGCCGACGTCACCCCCTTCCCACCTTCCCCCTTTCTTTCCTATCTTGACGCGTCACGTGATGCCCTTCTGACGTACTCACCTCTTCCTTTCTACCCTCCGCTCATCCCGCGTAACGATATAACGACATCTCAGATTGGAGGACGACAATATCGTGGCCCCCGTTGAAAGGTCACTTTCAAAATCAAATTGTTTATCACACCTGCACAGAAGAATTGAACTGTCCTCACAGGTGCCAATTCTCTTTCAATCCATCTGTTGTTGCCTTGCTGGTAAAAAGAAAACGAAGTGATCGGAGTTTACCATAGCTGTTGGTTCTAAAAGCTATCTTTTTAAATGATTTAGCGTCACATCTCATCTCCCTCTCAAATTTTCCACCTCCCCCCCCCCCCCACTTCTCCCTCCCTCTCTCGTCCCAAAGCCGCGCTCGACGCCGCCGATAAGTCAGTCTTATTGTGCGGCGGGAGGAGGAGAACTGGATGAATCCGGATCGCTCACTCCTCGCCCCGCCGACCCGGCCGGCCCCGCCCGCCTTGACGCGTCCCAGTCACGTGGCGCGTCCCTTTCGTGCCCCCCGCGGCCCCCCGTGCGGCCCTCTGCACC